CTTTACTCCTCACACTTCAGATAGAGCCCTAATATCCAGAGTATACAAAGAACTCAAAAAATTAAACAATAAGAAAAACAAATAACCCAATCAACAAATGGGCCAAGGACCTGAACAGACACTTCTCAGAGGAGGACATACAATCAATCAACAAGTACATGAAAAAATGCTCACCATCTCTAGCAGTCAGAGAAATGCAAATCAAAACCACCCTAAGATACCATCTCACTCCAGTAAGATTGGCAGCCATTATGAAGTCAAACAACAACAAGTGCTGGGGAGGATGTGGGGAAAAGGGTACACTTGTACATTGCTGGTGGGACTGCAAATTGGTGCAGCCAATTTGGAAAGCAGTATGGAGATTTCTTGGAAAGCTGGGAATGGAACCACCATTTGACCCAGCTATTCCCCTTCTCGGTCTATTCCCTAAAGACCTAAAAAGAGCATGCTACAGGGACACTGCTACATCGATGTTCATAGCAGCACAATTCACAATAGCAAGACTGTGGAACCAACCTAGATGCCCTTCAATAGACGAATGGATAAAACAATGTGGCATTTATACACAATGGAGTATTACTCTGCATTAAAAAAATGACAAAATCATAGAATTTGCAGGGAAATGGATGGCATTAGAGCAGATTATGCTAAGTGAAGCTAGCCAATCCCTAAAAAACAAATGCCAAATGTCTTCTTTGATATAAGGAGAGTGACTAAGAACAGAGTAGGGATGAAGAGCATGATAAGAAGATTAACATTAAACAGGGATGAGAGGTGGGAGGGAAAGGGAGAGAGAAGGGAAATTGCATGGAAATGGAAGGAGACCCTCAGGGTTATACAAAATTACATACAAGAGGAAGTGAGGGGAAAGGGGAAAAAAAATACAAGGTGGAGAAATGAATGACAGTAGAGGGGGTAGAGAGAGAAGAGGGGAGGGTAGGGCAGGGGAGGGGGGATAGTAGAGGATAGGAAAGGCAGCAGAATACAACAGACACTAGTATGGCAATATGTAAATCAATGGATGTGTAACTGATGTGATTCTGCAATCTGTATACGGGGTAAAAATGGGAGTTCATAACCCACTTGAATCAAAGTGTGAAATATGATATATCAAGAACTATGTAATGTTTTGAACAACCAACAATAAAAATTAAAAAAAAAATAAATAAAGGCATTGTGTTGTGTCCATCTACACCTAAAAAAAAAAAAAAATTTAAAAATAAATAAAAACACGGTTTCTAAGATATGTGTTGCAAGAAGCTATGAAGCTCATTTTGGTGAAAAATGTTTTTGTTATTTTGAATTTTTCCATCTCTTCTCCAAAAAAATTTTAAGCTCTGACCTGAACAAAAAAATTGAAATAACTGAAATAATTGACCTAATTTTACATGAACTCCCAAGGCAGCAAGTATAGTTCAATGGTAGAGTACTTGCCTGGCATGTGCAAGGCCCTGGGTTGAATCCCCAGGACCACAAAAAACAAACAAACAAAATCTTAACCTCCATTTGTTAATATCAAATCAATAGCCTTAATTTTCTCCCTTTAGGAAGTTTCCAACCAAATTGGAGTTAAACTAATCTCACTTTAAAGTGCAAGAAAGGATATGTAAAACTAGTGTTTGTTCTGTGACATGGAAAAGAGAAGCAGCCCTCCAACAGCAGTGGCATGAGGTACCAAGAAGCATGAAGAACTGGCTACCAGGACAAAGTAATCCATTAGGGTGACCAAAGAGCAAGGAGAGTCCAGTTTTAGCTTAGAAAAGAGGGGCCCTTGCCAAGTCTAGCTGTTAACTGTACCTAAATCTTAAACAGGTCTTAGGTCCCCCTAAGCTGCAGCACAGCATCAGCCACATCGAGAAGGCCAAATTCACCCAAACTTGTCAGCAGATACCTCTACACCATGATTTGTCAATGCTCATGTTGATGGTGGTAAAAAGAAGCCTAGGTTATGGAATAGCATAAACATTATTCATCTAGTAAGCAATAATCAAAGTTATGGTCTGGGGTACTAATACAAAAAAGTTCCCCAAATATCACTGCTGAGATTTTTTAAATCTGACTTTAAAACACTACGAAACGGTTTCTTCCACTCAAGGACAAGCTTTGCACTGATGTTTCTCAGAATTAATTTTGTGTCTACTTTTAGCCTCAGTTTGAGAGTGTTTTTTTTTTTTTTTGGGGGGGGGGGGGGGGGGGCAGGTAACCAGGGATTAAACTCAGGGGCACTCAACCACTGAGCCACATCCCAGCCTATTTTATTTGGAGACAAGGTCTCAGTGAGTTGCTCAGTGCCTTGCTGTTGCTGAGGCTGGCTTTGAACTTGCAAGCCTCCTGTCTCAAGCCTCTGGAGCCACTGGGATTCCAGGCATGTGCCACTGTGCCCAGCTTTTTTTTTTTTTTTTTTTTAATATACCATTCCTATGTTATAGCCAAGGCAAAAGGAGGATAAAGAACAAGAAACCCTCTATCCTGAGTACCTGGGATAGAAAGTACTCTAAAATCCAGTGGGTGTGAGCACATTCAAGTCATGCAATTTGAGATTATGGGTCCACGGCAGTTGTTTCTTCCTTTCTATTGCTGGGACATCCATCTTGGGTGGCTTGATGGTTGCTGGATCTTCAGCCATTCAGGTGACCTGGGCACAAATCAACTCCATGGGAGAGGGCTTTTGGGCTCCTTTTCAGTCATGGATGGCAAAACCTCCAGAATCAGGCTTCTGAAGAGGTCAGGGTCCAAAAAGTCACCATTTATCTGACGAGTTTCTGTCCTTTCCTGGATCTATGGTGCTAGGATTTGGACGAGGTAAGGATACAGAGGAACCAGAAGACCAGCCTCTGGGCCTCTGCTTAGGGAAAGAGTGAGGGGTGTTGCTTGGAATGGACTAGGCTGATGCAGGCTGCTTTTGTTATTTTTTCCACTCTGTAGCTTTAGTTTGTGAAATGCTTGCAATACTCAGAGATACTTGGCCTCCTTGGTAGTAAGGCCCTTGTGGGGTGTATAGCTAGCGTCTCTCAGTCCTGCCTGGGTCTGTTTTGTAATCAGAGAATTCATGATAACATGGGTAACTCTGGGACCTTGTCCATACTATCAGTGACTGTTGATAGGGTCATGGCAGGAAGGTTACACTGACCTCTCCTTCCTCCTCCTTGGCAACATGCTGATACTTGTGCTCTGGAATCACCGACTTCTAGGAGATGCTGCCTATGTCTGATGGAGGAAGAGTTATGGGTGCTGGGTCCTTAAGGGCATCATCATAGCTGAATGGGCAGGGTAATCTTGCCTAAAGGCCCAAGAACAGGTACTTCTGGTTGTCTTGAAGCTCTGAAAAAACTGGAATCCAGGTGTTTTTTCTACATATAATTTTGGAGCTGAGTCCTTGCCACTACAGTGAAATAATGTCATGACTATGCTCACTGACAGGTGTGAATGAGGAACATTGTCCAGATGTTGCAAATTGGCAAAGCTTCCCAGGAAGACTCCATTCAGAGGTTCTGTTCTCCAGAAAACTCCAAGGTGTCTGTGGTCCAGTCTCTGGCACTAAAGTGGGTCCAAAAGAGGTTGTGGCACAGTCCATACCCAAGCAATCGTGAGAGTGGCTGCAACACCACAGACTAGAGAGCACAAGCTCCAGGAATACAGATATTTAATGACTTGAACAGTCAGGAATCTTTTATAAAATATACTAAAACCATTTCCTTAGAATAGAGGGCACAGAGACTAACCCACATAATTACAGTTATATTAGACAAAGGCGCCAAAAACATACATTGGAGAAAAGATAGCCTCTTCAACAAATAGTGCTGGGAGAACTGGAAATCCATATGCAATAAAATGAAAATTAAACCCCTCTCTCTTACCATGCACAAAACTCAATTTAAAGTGGATCAAAAGCCTAGGAATTAAACAAGAGACCCTGCGTCTAATAGAAGAAAAAGTAGGCCCCAATCTCCATCATATTGGATTAGGTCTCTACTTCCTTAATAGGATTTCTATAGCATAAGAATTAAAATCAAGAATTAATAAATGGGATGAATTCAAACTAAAAAGCTTTTTCTCAGCAAAAGAAACAATAATTGAGGTAAATAGAGTGCCTAAAGCTTGGGAGCAAATTTTTTCCACTTGCACATCAGATAGAATGCTAATCTCTAGGGTATATAAAGAACTCAAAAAGCTATGCACCAAAAAACCAAATAACCCAATCAATAAATGGGCCAATGAACTGAACAGACACTTCTCAGAAGATGATATACAATCAACCAACAAATATATGAAGAAATAAGGGCACACTCTTACACTGCTGGTGGGACTACAAAATGGTGCAGCCAATATGGAAAGCAGTTTGGAGATTCCTTGGAAAACTTGGAATAAAACCACCATTTGACCCAGCTATCCCACTCCTTGGTCTATACCCAAAGGACTTAAAAACAGCATACTACAGGGACACAGTCACATCAATGTTAATTGCAGCACAATTCACAATAGCTAAACTGTGGAACCAACCTAGATGCCCGTCAGTAGATGAATGAATAAAGAAAATGTGGTATTTATACACAATGGAATATAACTTAGCAATAAAAGAGAATAAAATCATGACATTTACAAGTAAATGGATGGAGTTGGAGAATACAATGCTAAGTGAAGTTAGCCAATCACAAGACACCAAATGCCGAATGTTTTCTCTGATACAAGGAGGCTGATTCATAGTGGGGTTGGGAGGGGAAGCATGGGAGGAATAGATGAACTCTAGATAGGGCAGAGGGAAGGAGTAAGTGTATTCTTTCATGAATGTTGAGGATCTCATGTGGAAAATACTTTAGGTGTCTATAGTCAAAGATTTCTAAGATTAATTTCTTTAGGTGGATGGCACAAAACTTAACTAACAATTCTACTAAATTACTTAGGACTAAAAATATACTCCTAAAGAAAAAGAAAAGAAACACTTCCCTAATTGAAAACTACTCTAATCAAGACATTTAAGAAATTGTGATTACTTTCTTTACCTATTATCAAGAACAGCAGAGGTAGAGGAATCCAGTTCTAATGTCTGCTGAAAGAGCTCTTTGTTCTCATCAATAAAGTGTCGCTGCATCTCAGACATCTGGGCCATGATTTTTTCTCTACGCAGTCTGGCAATCTCAGCCTTTCTTTTCCTCTCAGCTTTGTCTTTGTCTCTTGAACTCTGAAATTATAATTCATTCAATTAGATCATCAGATGCAAAATGAACATTTTCTTTCCCAAAGCAGAGATGTATATTTAGTATCAATATTCAAAACTATTCTACAATCTTGCTTAGCCCAAAGAAGAGATTTTCAAAATAATATTAAAAAATAAATAAATAAATAACCACCCCTCCAAAAAAAATTGCCACACAAATAAATGTATTTGTGGCACATTTCTTGGAATTTAATGTTTGTGAATAATATCAACTTACTGCAGATGAATTTAATTTGCTCATACTAAACTTGCTACAATTTGTCAGTATTATCACACTTTACTTTCTTTTTCTTTTTGTAGTGCTGGAGATTGAACACAGGGACTCATGCAAGGCATTTACTTTTCTTTTTTGGGCAGAGGGGTTCTGGGGATCAAATCCAGGGATACTCAGCCACAGAGCCACATCCCCAGCCATATTTTCTATTTTATTTAGAGACAGGGTCTCGCTGAGTTACTTGGCACATTGCTTTTGCTGGGGCTGGCTCTGAACTCATGATTCTCCTGCCTCAGCCTCTTGGGATTACAGGCGTGTACCACCCATGCCTGCAGGCATGTACTTTTTTTTTACCTCTTCCATTATAGTTCCTTCTGTCTCTGCCACAGGACTGGTAGATGAACTCTCTCTTATCTTCTTAATAGCATTAAAAGTCTAAGACAAAAAAATAGTATCAGTTACCCTGAAATTATGAAATATTATCACAACAAATATTTAATGTTTCTCACAATCAGAGCAGTTTGAAAGATGTTACCTTTAAAATCCACCTAATCATATCTTTGTGGACTTCCAGGTAGGGGGCATTTTGTAGTGTCTCCAGCATAGCTAGGATGCTTGGAGAATTGTTTGGTGCTTCACCAGGTTCTAAGGCAGAAAAAATAAAAGGCAAAATAACACTAGCTGACAATTTACAGAGCTTAGTCCTGTCTACAAGAAGATGAATGTAGGTGCTTATCATTATCTGTTGCTTATCATTTAATTACAGCCTTACTTAATAGATTATTAATACTTATAGCTTTTAGCAATATTAAATGAAAACTCACCAAAAAAATCTGGTTTGAGATTTTATAAGTCTAAGAAAATGAATTAGGGTTATAGGGGTGCACATATGTATAAATATATCTATTTACTTGAACCTTTTCTTTAATAAAAGGTATATTCAAAATAAAATAAAATTTTTCCCTTAAAAATTAATTGCTTCTGTATTTGAAGAAAATAAAAGTCAAGACCATATTCAAGAGTACCTTTAATCCAATATTAGCTAATTTAGTTTGTAGTCAGAAATGTCAAATTATTGATTTTCTTGATTTAAGTGCTGACATTCTGGCAAAACATTCTTCTTTCCTAAGAGGAGAAGGGATTGAACCATGTGATCTTGAATATTATTCCAGATCTAAAATTCTGTGGTTGTGCTTTAGGAATCTGACTCTAGATGAGAGGATTCTTTTTTTTTTTTTTTAAACAAATAAATATATATTGTGTGTCTTATTTAAAAGAAATATTTAAAAAGAATAAGAGTAATGTCCAGAAAAAATGATGATTGTTTTAAAAAAGAAAGAAGGGGAAAGGGTGAACTTGATATTTAATGATGAGTAAATGAAATCATGGAGCTGTCTTTGCAGTTATTCTAAAGTAAAAGCATTAGAGACAAAGAAAACAGGAGGTTCAACATTAATCCATGGGAAGAATATCAAGAGAAAAAAAGGAGTAGTGAAAGGCTGGCACCCACAAAGACAGTCTTCAGTGGCAACAGGCAGTTTCTCCTCTTGCTTTCATTTACTTGATGAAGGCAAACTAGAGATCTAGCAGTAAAGAGGACCACTTCCTCCTCTGTCCTCAGTAGTAGAGGATAGTATTCTCACAGTCCTTATCATTTAGGAAGAAATGGCACTGAATAAAGTTATAGAAACAATCCTTTTCAATTCAGGAATTCATAAATCCTATCACAAGACCATAAATTCATTTATAAACATTTAGCACATGGCTGATTGCGGGTCTGGGCAAGGCAAGCACAAGCTGAGCCTGTCAACTCTGGCACCAGAAAGCAGGGTGATGAAAAAACACTAACAGACTAGGTGAAAGGGACACAGAAACTGCGTGAACTCCTATTGACCAAAAGTGGCATGATCTGAGAATCAAAAGGAACAATAATAATAACTGTAACACACTGAATAAATAAAAATGTACAAGTCATATTTTTTAAAAAACACACACAAACTGTAAAGATTCAAAGTTGTTACCCGTAACAGGTAATTATTAGACCAAATGCTTATTCTAAAAATTAATAAAAGCTTATTTTTAAGAGGTTAAATATGATGTCTACAACAAATGGTTCAAAGGTACACAAATATAAACATGAATATCCCTGAATATTAACAACTGAGTCTAGGTGGTAGGTATGTGGGTGTTTATTGTACAACTCTCAACTTGTCTCACATTTCCGAAAGTTTTAAAATAAAACATGAAAAATATTTTCCTGGCCTTCTTAGAAAAAAATAAAAAGAAACAATTACTTTGCATAAAATTACAATCCAATCCTCTACAGCTAATTTTATTTTCAACATTATACAATCTTATGTTTTTGTAAAATAACTAAAAAAAATTAAAATGAAATCCTGCAATCCCATCTACTATGGAGGCTGAGGCAGGAGGATTTAAGTTTGAAGACAGTCTGGGCAACTTACACCCAGTTTCAAAATAAAAAAGAAGAAGAACCAGGAGTATGGCTCAGTGGTAGAGCGCCTCTAGGGTTTTGTCCCCAGTACTGGAGGAAAAAAAAAAAAAAATCAACCAAAAAAACCCCCCACACACATCTATTTCCTAAAGATAAATGTATGTGCTATACCAGTTTCAACCTGAGAACTCCTCAATATTTTTTACTGTTTATGAATTAAAATTTATGCATCTCAAGTATGTGTAGGCCCCAAGTATTTTTATATTAAGATCTAATATGATACCTGTAACACAAAGATGAAATATGTGGCCTCAAATATTTGAATTCAACATTACCTAAATAGAACTTACATAATCAAATAAAAGAAGTTATAAGTGATTATTTGAAATCACTTACATTTTGCGTTAGTTCAGTTAAAAAGTGTATACATACTTGAAATCTTCTGAGTGAAGGTAAATGTTACTACATGCTCTTCCATGACATTCTCTAAATGTTGTTTTTCTTCTTGTAGTGCCATTCCAATTAAATGTAACACCTCAAATAAAATGTTTTGTTAACTTTTTAGTAAAATAATCAAGTATATATTCTTATTTCATATAACAAAAATAATTAACTCATGATTGAAAAGTTAAATCAAGTTATTAAAGATTAAATGCAATAAGAAACAATTCTAAATATTATTTTTTATTGAATTCAAAGACTGAGGTTCATTTTATAATGAAAAAATTCTCAGTAAGGAAATGAAATTTTTTATTTTAGAGTTAAAATATTAGGGCAAGCTAAAATTACTATGGCCAAGCAATTCATGTAATACACAATGTTCAGTTTTGTTCCATACCTACACTTCAGTCTTAAAAAAAATATCTTATGATAATCATTGGCCAAATAATTACAGAGCTGAAGGTGTCTATATTAATCATCCAGGAGTCATATTTTTATCTCTACTGTTACACAATTTTGTTTGTGGTTCTTGCATAATCTGACAAAGATTCCTTAAGAGACTTAAAGAAAACATATAACTACATTGAACTTGTATATAATTTACTGCTCCTGTTCTGCTCACTAGTTTTTTTTAAAGGGGATATATGTGTGAGGTCTGTTTTTCTCTCCACAGAGTGTACTTGTTATGAAAGACTTGGAAGAACTAGATTAGCCTGAATGACATAAGTGCATATATGAAGTGAATACTGTTCATTGCTCCTCACTCCTTCATTTCCCACAAATCTTTTGCTCACACAGTACTAATCTCTACTACAACACAGCTCCCAGGTTTTAAATACATGTTTATAAATGGGATTGCTTAAGTATTCATACACTTTAGCCAATGAGATACTTAAGCCTGTTCAGACAATTAAAGGAATGGTAGTTGAATTCTTGGCTTTACTGCTTTCAAGCCTTCTTCTCTCTCAAGGAGACCCTAAATGGTCTCATCATCTTTAACCTAGGAACAAACTGCTTCTTTAGAGGCCTGAGTATTATAAATTCCGTATGTAAAGTGCCTAGCATAGCACTTTATTTCTGTAAACTGAATAATTGTTTTGCTGTCATCACTAGATGAGTAGTGAGAAATTAAATGAACCTCACTGAAACTTGGCTTCCTCATCCATACAATGGAAAAAGCAGTACCTGTTAACAGGGTATTGTGTGAATTCTAGGAGATAATGTAAGAATGACTTACATTACCACTATAAAGTTAATTTAAACAAGGTTCAAGATTTCCCAGTTTTTAGTTATAGAAATATAAGTCTCCAAATTTCAATTTCTTCGATTACAAAATATGAATACTGAGCTGGGTAATGGCTCAGCAGTAGAGCACTCGCCTGGCACATGTGAGGCCCTTGGTTCAACCCTCAGCACCACATAAAAATAAATAAATAAATAAAGGTATTGTGTCCAACTACAACTAAAAAAAATAAATATAAAAAATATGGATACTGAGGAAATCAAGGTTTTTTTTTTTTTTTAATATACATAAAAGCTAACACATTATACCAATATCAGAGACTGTGTATGTAGCGGCCAGGACCAATTATGGAGAGATATATTGACCAAATATATCTACCAGGCACAAATTTTCACAGCCATACACAAAAGGAATAATAATATGATATTAAGAATTAAGTTAATACAGTACATTTTGTCCTAATTTTTCTGTGTATAGATAATGACAAGAGTACTTTGGTTTCTCACTACAAAACACTATATACGTATGTGTGTGTGTGTGTGTACATATATATATATATATATATACATACATACATATATATAAGAAATGTCTTCAAACATACCCTTTGTAGCATTGACTCTGACCAGGCATATCCATTATGCTCCACAGCCCATTGTAGTATTGTTCCCATGATGCACAACATGACATCTGACTGCAAAATGTTAACTAGACTTGCAAATAAAGGGCAGAATGGAGGCAAAACTGGAGGTGGAAGTGCTGAAAATAAAGTTATTATGGTTTCTTTTGTAGAACACGTTTTTAAAAACTGTTAGATACTTTTGATAATCTTCATTTGAAGAGTATTCATTAACAAATATCTCTCTTTAGAAAAAAAAATTTTTCTGGTGCTGATGATGGAGCTCAGAGCCTTGTGTATGCTAGGCAAACACCTTACTACTGAGCCACATCCCCAGCACAACACACATCTTAAAACTATATTTCACCTTCTCAAAGTTAGTCCAATGTACAAAAAAGGTTGCATAGATAGCAGTACAAAGAAAAACATTTCTTTTCCCTAGAAATGCCTCAAAATTTGAGAAAAAAACATTAACCCCAAAGTGACTTAATACAGACTATCTTTATGTTAATATTTATTTATTATTCCTTTGATTAATTAGGAGGAAGTTCACTTGGAAAGCTTACATTTAAATCTTTCATAGTTAGAAAATAAACTTCAGCAAGCAGAAGAGATCAACATGAGATTTCTGGAAAGATTAAAAATACCTGTATCCTCTCTATTTTGTCTTTTCAATTTCCGCTGAGCTTCTTCTGCCTAGTAAAAATGAAAGTTATTTAGATGGCATTTATAATACAAAATAATTTAATACCCTAAACTAGTAATGTAATTCAGTCTCTATTATCTTCTGGTTTAGAAGATTTTTTTTTTTTCTTTTGTGGTTCTGGGGATCGAACCCAGGGCCTTGTGCATGCAAGGCAATATCCCCAGCTGCTCAGAAGATTTCTTTTTATCATTAGTGTTGCAGTTCCTCCCAAACTGATGCCAGAGTTAACTTTTTCCCCTCTAAAAGCTGCCCCAAATGACTTCTTTGTTGCATTAAAATGCAAGGGAAATATGTACAAACCAAACTCAAATTTAGGCTATATGATAATATTAAACACTAGGTTTCTGCCGGGTGCAGTGGTGCACCTGTGTAACCCCAGCGTTTTGAGAGGCTAAAGCATGAGGATCATGAGTTCAAATACAGCCTCAGCAATTCAGCAAGACCCTGTCTCTAAATAAAATATAAAAAAGGGCAGGGGATGTGGCTCAGTTGTTAAGCGCTTCTGGGTTCAATCCCCAGTACCAAAATCAAAACCAAAACACTAGTTTTGTATAATGCCACTTATTATAAAAGGAAAAGTATAAGGAGACTACTACAAGGCAAAATTTACTTAAAAGTGATTAGGAAAACTGTATAAATCTCCATGGAAAAGCATTTTTAGTAGAACCAATTCTGAAATGTGTGTAAAATGGGTTAAGTAATTATAATGCAGGTTGAAAATTTGTCTTCAAAATCCAATACGTATGGGCATATATAAGATTATATGTACATATAAAGCTTATAATCTATGCATAAAACCCTGAGGGCAGGGATATCCAAAATGTTAAGCAGTGATAGTCTATGCAATTTGTAATTTTTTTCTGTAATTATACCTTTTTCATATTTTCTAAATTTCTACAATAAAAATGAAGAAAATTATTTTTTCAATCTGTGAAAAGCAGTAAAAGATTTTTAAAGGATAAAAATCCAACCCCTTCTCATTATACTTTTATTTTAATTTATTTTTGGGTACTGAGGATTGAACTTAGAGATGCTTTACCACTCAGCTACATCCCTAGCCTATTTTTATGTTGAGACAGGGTCTTGCTAAGTTGCCAAGGTTGGCCTTAAACTTTTGATCCTTTTGCCTCAGCCTCCTGAATAGCTAGGAACAAGCACAATTGTGCCTGGACCCCGCATACATTAAAATTTCCCAGTTACCTTGGACTGCTCTGCCCTTGAAAAGTGATAGAAATACAAGTTGAACTCTTTGGTGCATTCTGGTTTCAGTTCGTACATGCCTCGTCCTGTTAATCCAGGTTTTCTAGGGGGGGAAAAAAAAGACCCTTATAATATTTATATTGAAGTCATACACCAATTCATGAGTCTCAGATGTTAGGATAAGAACCAAATCTCTGATATCCTTCCGATGGGTATTAAGTTGAAACTTAATTTGGAATTCTCAATCCAAATTCTAATGTGCATCTATTTTATTTACTACCTCCACTTTGAATTCATCCTGAATAGCAAGTGGATATGATGGATATGTAGCACCAACAATTGAAAAGCCTGACAACAGGGGACAGGTTACATAAATGACAACATTTCTAAACAACTGAACACCATTAAAAGTGATGTTAATTTCTGTATTTTTTTTTTTTTTGAGAGAGAGAGAGAGAGAATTTTTTAATATTTATTTTTTAGTTCTTGGCGGACACAACATCTTTGTTTGTATGTGGTGCTGAGGATCAAACCCAGGCTGCACGCATGCCAGGCGAGCACGCTACCGCTTGAGCCACATCCCCAGCCCCTCTGTATTCTGATATGTAAAGATGTTTGTGATAAATTCTATTAAGTTAAAAAAAAAAAAAAAGCAGGCACAATACTGGAATTTAAAGAGCCTTCCTAAGCAGGATATAAAACCCAGAAGCTGAATAAGACAGAAAGATATTTAAAACACTTGTGAGAAACACCACCAAAGTTAAAAAAATAAAAAATGAAGTGATAGGGACAAAGTACTTGCAATGTATTTAATAGAGTAAGAATCAATATCTCTAATATATAAAAATAATTATGGAACAATAAGATGGGGATGAACTACTGCAAAGAAAAATGTACACAAGTATGACTAATTATAAATGGTCAATAAACACATGAAAAGATGTTTAGCCTTATTGGTAGAACAATGCCTATTAAAATAAAGTAACACCTACCTAATGTGTATAAATTAAAGTGAACAAGGCTAGGGGTATAGGTCAGTGGTAGAGAGCATATATTGAAGTCATAGTTTCAACCTCCAGAACCACTTTTAAAAAAAAGGTAAAAAAGAATACATATATTAAAATATTAAAGCCTTGACAAAGTTCTAGGAAACTCTCTTCCACTGTTAGAACTGGGAGTAGAAATTGATAACATCTTGAGGAAGGCAATTTGGAGGTTATGTATTAAAATATATATGCTTTCTTTTGATTCTGCAGTTCCTCAAAGAAATACTTTTATACACCAATGACATGTACTACTGCTCAGTACTTTGTTCATAATAAAGAACATCAAATATCCATCAACAAGGGAGAGGTTAAATACATTATAGTACGTAACTATAAAGAAGTGAATCCATTTTTTTAAAGTATGTATATTCCTAGCCATTGACACATACATACAGATACAAATGTTATGAATATAGAGAAAAATTTAGAGGAATATATAATGTAGTAGAATCACCTAAGTGGTTGGATTATGGTGATACTTTTTTCTTCCTACCTTTACCTTTCTGTATTTCTCTAAAAGCATGTATTGCCTTTATAATCAATAAAAATAAAGACACTGCAGGGGCTGAGGTTGTAGCTCAGCGGTAAAGTGCTTGCCTAGTATGTGTGAGGCACTGGGTTCGATCCTCAATACACACAAAAATAAAAAAATAAGATAATAAAGGTATTGTATCCATCTACAATTAAAAATATTAAAAACAAACAAAGATACAGCAGTTGGAGTGGGAAGTAGAAAAAAAAAAAAAAAAGCAAGACTAAGAATCTGCCTCAATAACTTCAAGAGGATAAACTAGTTTATTCAATGGGGTACATACTAGACAATGGAGAAGGAAGCATTCAGGGCTATCTCATAACTTACGGGGCACATTTAAATGCAAACAAAGAAAGCAATTTTAAGAAATTACAATGTATTTACTTTGATCACAAGTCAAGACCACTGGTCAGGTTAATTATTATTTGAAACTATTAGCTATGGTTCCTTCTGAATGCTATGAAAAATCCTCATAATGTTACTTTATATTGCTGAGTGCAGTACTAGATCATAAAAGTGAGATGTTCAGCTCAGAATTATAACATGAAAATGTCACTCTGAAAGCAACAAATTCATCCTCAGTTTCATCAAAGGAAACACTCTAAGAAAAATTACTATTAAAAAAACCCATAAAATGTGAAATAACAGGAAAGATACTCACTTGAAATGGGCAACTGCTTCAATTACGCTCTCCATGCCAGTCTCCTTGTTTTCCTAAAGGTACAGAAACAATTAAATGTGCTTCATGTTAATAACAACTGATATCAATTTGAGCATGATGCTTTATCTCCATAACCCTTATGGCAACCCTATGAATGGATATATTATTATTCCTATTTTTAAAGATGAAGATATATACATTTAGACTTTTTGCAAGCTGATGTTCAAAGTTACATAATTTCAAAAAATATCACTACCATATGGGACCAAGGTAGTAGCTTTCAAAAGGAATTAAATAAAAATTCAAAATGTGTAAAACATTTAAAAAGAATTTGGGTAAAATATAATATTTTGTGAAATAGTTATATTAATTTCTTATCTATTTTCAGTGAAATAGCACCTCCATTTCAACAGAAATTCTGTAAGTAAGGAAATCTCTCGTCAAAATGTCTGAGAAATATAGTTGCTGTCACTTGTACAAAGAATTTGTATCACTCTAAAAATGTGGTTTTAGGGATGGGAATTATAGCTCAGTGGTAGAGAGCTTGCCTAGCATGCACAAGGCCCTGGGTTAGATCCCTAGCACTGAAAGAAGAAAAAAAAAAGCTGCTTTAAATTTATTCTTCTTTAGCGTGTAGGTTAAATTATGTAACAACCCAAGATTGATTTTCTGCATTAAAAAGTACAAATAATTTTTATCCTGACTAGATATACAGTGATAAGAAATTACTAAGTACTGTTGGTTTCTAAAATGTGATGATGATATATATAAACTTTTAAAAAGAGTTCTAAACTCTCTTAGATCAAAGCTTCTCAATTTTGGCACACTGACATTTAAAACAGATGATTCTTTTCTATAGTACTGTGTACTGTAGGATGTGTAGTGGCATCCCTGGCCTCTACCCATTATACACTAATAGCACCCTGTAACCTGTACTGAGTGGAGACACTGCTAAATGTCTCCTCCATAGGAGGCAAAAACATCCTTGGTTGAGAATCACTGTGTTAGGTATATAAAGTCCTACTTAGAGATGATGGTAAACTTAAGCATTCTATACAAAATAATCCAATGGGGCATAGAGGTTAATAATTGAGGTATAGATGACAGAAGGTTGGCCAACTGTCAAAAGCCAATGATGGGTTTATTATGTTTTCTATTTCTTCACAAGTTTGAAATGTTTCATACTAAAAAGTTTGAAAAAAGTATTATTATGTAACAAAGATTGAAAGCTCAGAAGAATAAATGTTAAGGTTGAAAGTTTTGATTAATTCCAAATTTGGGAAAATATCTTGAAAAACTTCAATGAAAATCAAGTTCCTTCCCAACTATTAGAGTTGAGTTTCTGAAAAATAGGTAGCTGAGGAACTTATGGCCCCGGGAGGAAAAGAGTTACAATTCAACCTATAAATATTTTTGTGATTATTACTTCACTTTCACTAAAATGAAAAAAAAAATGGCTCTTTATTAAGAAAGAGAAGCCAAGTGTGATGGCAGATGCCTGTAATCCTTACTGAGGAGGCTGAGGCAAGAGGATTGAAAGTTTGAAGTCAGTCTGGGCAACTTAGCAAGACCCTGTCTCAAAATAAAATATAAAAAGGGTTGGCTAGTATAGCTCAGTGGTAGAGCCCTTGCCTAGCATGTATGAGATCCTGAGTTCAATCCCAGCACTGATAGGAAAAAAAGAAAAAAAAAAAAAGAAAAAGAAAAAGAAAGAAAGAAAAGAAAAAAAGGAGAATTTCTGGATGCCTGAGAAGGAAAATGCTCTGGAAAAATGTAGTCTATCAACACACGTGGGTAGGTATTTCTCATTCCCAACTTCAATATACTACATTACAAAGTATTATTTATAGTCATGGCAATTCTGTATTAAAGATATAACCTCTCTCTAATGGATACTAAAATTCATTTCAGGACAAGCTTTTTTTTCAGCATCCTTACATCTTTCAAGGTCTTATTGTAAAAGACTCTATTCTTGTTTGGCTTTCTACAACTAGTCGCTAGTACTCTTGTCTTCTAATTGCTTATAGTAAGAGTAACTGGAACTACACATATCCTAGAAGTGTAGTTTTTACAATTATGGGAAAGGTATACAGGAGTAAATCTATACATAATAAAACTGTAAGGAAGGAAAAGCTTATTATATTTTCCTTTTTAAAAACATAGGTACTTACATCTTCAGGTAAAGATTTTACCAATTCACTATGAGCCATAGGTTTGATGCTCAACTGATGGATAATCTCCCGCTTAATTTCATCTGTAGTATTAACCTGTCCAACCCCAGGACTAAATCTTTCTCCTGTCAAAAAGGAAAAGGTATATATTATACATATATACACACACATACACACACACACACACTTAACAATAATTATGTGATATATACTTATATATACTTCTAATTTATGTAACAAAACACACTGCATAGTGGGAAAGAAATGACTAGTCATGGAACCAACTAGGGAAAGAGCAGCTCCTAACCGTACTTCTGAGTCTCAGACACAGCAAATGAATGCAGACTTCAGGCAGTAGAGAGAGCTCTGGTTGCTATTTTGAAGGAAGGATCAGAAAAAGAGTAGGAAGGGATACAATACAGTCAAGGGAACTGCTTTCACTGCATCCTCCTTGTGACAGTAAGGAGGGAGTCTTCTTTCTGTCTAGTAGCAAGTGAGATATCACCTTTTGAGACCTTCTTCATGCATCACCTCCCATCAATAATCTGGATTCTCTATGGACTATAAAGCATCTGGCTGAATAGCAGAAGTGACAGAAGGTTAAGGGACAAAAGAAAAAGAAAGACAGGGGTGGCCGAGGACTGAAAAGACAGGTAATAAGACAACTGTATCTATAGGCCATAGGTCTCCATTAATTTGGAAGTATATTTGGAGTCAAAACATATGTAGATATCACAAAACCAGGGAAACATCTAAGATATAAATTAGCAGTAAATGGCTTCTAAATGTTCTATCCCTTGCTTGCTAAATTCTCCTGTTTCCCCAAACATACAGTCTTCCAGTTTATTCTACTTTTGAAATTGTCTTTTCTCCTCTTTCTAAAGCACCACAGAACCACTACTCTCAATATTACAGTAACCAGAGGGGAGGGAGGAACAAAGGGATGTTCTAATTCCCTTCCCCTAAAACTGAGTACATATCTTCTCATAACAAAACACAGTTCAGAAATTCTGAGCTATTTTCTACCACAAAGTCCAACGTAATTTATAACAAACAATATAAACTTACCAACAAGCATTATAATGAGATACAGCATTTCTTCTATTAGAGTATTGTTCTGCTGAACAACATCCTACAAACCAGGGGAAGATAACATTCAAAGATAAGAATATGCATACTGTATTCTCTCAGAGGACTAACATATCCATGAAGAATGAAAGATGCTTCTTTAGTGATGGTTGTATCTCTTAAAACACACCCTTACCTTATGAGTAATTTCAGAACTAAATCTTTTTCCATAGTCTGGTGTACTGAAAATCTGATAAAGTTCAAAGCGGCTGAGCATTATCATCAGGAAATGATTTGGATCCATCATGGAGACACCTGTCTTTTTTGTTTGTTTGTTTAAAATAAAGGAAAAGAGGAAGGTCAAAAGGGACACTAAACATTTAGTGAAAGATATATAGGTGTGCACAAGAAAAAACAGCTTATTTGTTTACCAATTAAAATAAAAGATAAAAACTTACTTATCCCAAACCCTACATGTGGTAGCTGACAAATGGGAACAGGAATCTAAATTGGTAAAGCAAAACACACAGAATAAAAACCCTCCAACATCCAAACCCACACATTTGACTTTTTCAAACTTTTTTTTCTTTTAATGCTTTGAAATCATTGTGTTCCTATGAATTTGATTCAAAAGGTTTATTATCAGGGTTCACTGTCTGGACTCTGAGTTAAATGCCAATTAAGTTCCTAGAATTTAAAAATAGGCATTATATTAAATTATTATCAAGATGCCTTAAATTTTTTTGGTGTGTGTGATAAGCATTATACTGGCTGAAGAGACAGCTTTTACATATTAGTTTCAATTCTCTTTTAATTTCATTTGTAAAAATTCTAAATCAACCTAAATTTTAATTTACCTGGAACCAATAATCTTTTCTATATTTTGATTTATCTTTTTTTTTCATAATTACTATATTCATTTAGCAGTAACATGGAGCAACCACTGTGTGAACAAGCACTGTGCAAGGCAAAAGGGGCAAAAAAAAAAAAAAGAAAAAGAAAAGAAAAAAAAATGAACACAGTTGCCACAGTTTAGGGAAGATGGTGGGGATAAGTATCATGCTATGAGTTCTCACAAAAGAGATAATGAATGGTCAAGTTCTAGAACGTCAGATAAGGACTCTTGAAGAAAGTAATAAACTAAACACTAAGACACAGTGGAAAATAACTAAGCTAGGTGAAGGGAAAAGGAGCAGGGAGAAATATAGGGACCAAAATATATAAATGTGCAAAGTTTTAAGACTTAAAGAGATAGCATGGCAAATTCAGTGATCTTCAAGGTAGTTAAGTATCTGAAGCCTTGAAAATTAAGGGGTTTAAAATTAGTTAAGTAACTAGTAAGAGGTGGTGGCACAGGAGGCTGAGGCAGGAGAGGCCTCACAAGTTTGAAGCCAGCCTCAGCACTATAGTGAGGTCCTAAGCAACTTAACGAAACCCTGTCTCAAAATTTAAAAAGAGCTGGGGATGTAGCTCAATGGTTAAGCACCCTTGAGTTAAACCCCAGTAAACCACCCCTCAACCAAAAAATTAGTTAATGACAATCAATACCCAAAGGATGGTTTTCAGTTTTCTGACTTCAGCAACTGTGTGATCTATGGAATAACTCAACAAGGTAGGGCATCTAAGACAGGAAGAAAGTAAGAAGGAAGTAAGAATAGTTATTTTGACTACGATGAACCTGAGATGTGCCCAGGAAACCTAGGTGGATATGTTCTATAGACTGGTAGTCTGAGTGTGGAGCTTTGCTGGACAGGGCTAGGCTAATTGTAAATTCAGGAGTGACTGATTACAAGTGACTGGATTCAGTGGAAATACAAGTAGTAACCAAAACCTTTAGATTCAATACTTTTAATTCATTACCTGAAGCATCACTATATCCTTGTCAAACATCTCACGTCTGCATTTCACATTATGGTAGTAATAAATCTAAAAAAAAAAAAAAAAAAAAAATTTCATTATATTGGGTAAATAGGCTTTTACTAGTACAACTATCTCCTTGTCCCTCACCCACTTATAAGCACATGGGTTTGTGTAAGTATAAGCACTGGTATGTATATGATGTGATTTCCTGAATGGTTAACATTATCTTAGTACAGATTAATTAATTAGAAATTTCCATGTGGTATCCATTCTGATTCTCATTTTGCAGTCAACTTGAGTTTCCCAACAAAATGTAAAAAGTTGTTACTTCATGAACGTTTAGAGCTTCCAAAAATATGAAAAAAAAAAAAAATCCATACTAAGCCTTAGTAAAGTTTAAAAAGTGAAATTTCAACTTTAGATCTCTACTGAGACCTTTTATTTTTTAATCCAATTTAATATAAATAGATGAAATTTATAATTTTATTGTTTTTTACTATTCAACTGTTCTAAAAAATATTTCAAGAGAAAAACTAATATCACTGTGATTCATTTCTATTTGTAATTTTGTTTACTGACAACCTATAAACAAATTTTCAAGAAACTTAAATTGGTTTATCATTACAGTTATTTTTTTAAAAAAATTTCATATAGATTTAAACTTTCAATAACTAAATCCGCTGAAAACTACAACCTTCATAGAGGCCAATGAATGGAATGAAAACTACACAGAATAAAAAAAAAAAAAGAAAGAAAAGAAAAAGCTTACCTGGTTTACTAGTGAGAACCCATTTCTTCTCCACATCCCAGCATGTACTTGGGCACATAAAACAAGACATCTAAGAGGGTGTTCAATCAACATTGGTGGGCTAAGTTCACTCTGCAGATTCAAAAAAAAAATCCATAGAAAGTCAATTCCAAAAAGAAACTTGTTTGACAAGAATCAAAATTTTATAAAACACAGGTTAAAATTATTTTACAGTATGTTTGGGTGACAGTTGATTCTGTGTCAACTTAACTGGGGTCTGGTACCTAGTTTATGGTCAACAATAGTCTAGATATTGTCAAAAGTTGTTTTTTATATATGAGTAACATTTCAGTAGACTTTGAGTAAAGTAAATTACCCTCCATAATGTTGGGTAGGCCTGATCAATTCAGCTGAAAGCCTTAAAAGACCTTTAAGGTTCCTGAGGAGAAGGAATTCTCTCTCCATGATTGTCTTTGTTCTTGAGACTGCAACATTAACTCTTCTCTGGGTCCCTCCAGTCTGTCAGGTGCCTGTAGACTAGATTTGCTGGCCCTATGATCGCATGAGGCAGTTTCTTAAAATAAATCTTTCCTTAAAACACACATGCATACATGCACGCACACATTTTATGGGTTTTGTTTCTCTGGAGAATCCAGAGTTGCTGGTATTACAGGTGTGTCCCACCATGCTTGGTGAGAACCAAGATTAATAAAAGTTTGTTTCAATTTGTTTTCAAATACAAGGAACATAATAAACAGGTACTTATGTTTAAATGCCAGAACCACTTACTAGAGGTAGGAGCTCTGGAAATTTATATGCCACTTCACTTTTGCTTAATAATACATGCAAACCTGCATGGAAGAACAAACAAAAGTATTTCTATTAAGTTAAAATAATTTAGGAAAAAACCGTAAATATTCACTCAACTTTATTATGTAAATTTTTTGTATATTTAGGAACCTGGATTACAACTTAAGATATAAAACAAACTATATCCAGAAATGAAGCTTTTCAATGGTTATTCTAATGAATCTCTATATTAAAAGTAGAATTAGAAGTAGCCTTAATTATATATCCCAACATACTTTGATGACATTAGAAGTAAATGTTAGATGTACAAACACAGCAAAAGCAGCTATATAACCGTCAAAACAATTTACACATGTTATGCCAACTTTAAAAGTCATATTTCACTGGGTCATAGAGTTTATTCCATTTAATGACGGGTGAAAGATCCTCTGGCAAATAAAGAGAAAATGGCCTGGATTCAAGGTTTGCACTGATTTGAACATCAGAATTAGGTTCTCCAGAACTTCTAGAATCAAAGCCTTTAGTTCCTTATTTCAAGGGGCTCTTTTTGTGGCTTGACCTTAGTTAATTCTGATTATGTCCTGTTTCTGTCACTGCCTAAATAGAGAATGCTCTTTACAATCCTGTCAATGTACACTGGCCACCTTCCTCATCCAGGAAGACCTGCATTACTGACCCATTCTAATAACTTGTTCTCAACAGTTATTGCTCAAGTTCTGTTAGCATACTCTCCAAGTTATTAAGGACCAGTTTTATATATGTTTCCTTAGCTCACCAATTATATTATAAGCATTCAGGACAGGGATCATCAAATACTGTGAGATGACTACTCCAAAATATTCACTGCACAAATTTCGGGAGGTAAAGACCTAGGCAGAGATTAGTACCTTTTTAGAATACTGACTTTCTTCACTGTGGATAACTATCAGTTTCAGCTTGTAACACATACAGATTTTTAAAGGAAGAAGAGATCAGTGGATGAGTTGGACAAGGGACTCACTTTCCTGTCTTTTAGTCCAGTCCTTCTCCAGAACATGCTATCAGTTGCCTATGTTGAGAACCAACAGTTTTCAGTTGCTCAATACACTTATAAAAACATAACTGGGCCCAAACAATAGGAGAAACTTTTTTGTATGATCACAAATTCACTCTAAGTAACTATCTAATGTACTATTTCAATATTCATATGTTTAAGAACAATTTCATAAGCCTCAGAATAAGTAATCTCAACTTTCTACAACTTCAATAACACACCCCAAAAACGGCTGGCATACAAAAGGTCTATCAGCAGGACAATGTGATAATACTTAGAATAATGAAAAAAATGTCTTCAAAATGAAAGAGGGATCACTACTACTGACCCCATTTCGTTAAAAAGATAATGAAGAAAAACTATGAATAACTCCAGGCTCCTAAATTCCTTGAAAGACACAAAGTACCAAAACTCACACGGATAAATAGATAATCTGAATAGGCCTATAACTATTAAAGAAATTGAATCAATAATAAATAATCCTGAAAGCATAATATAGTTACACTAGTAAACTCTACCAAACATATAAGGAAGAAATAATATGATTCTTCACAATCTCTTCTAGGAAAAACAAAGAGCAAAACAAAACAAAAATTAAGTATGATCCTCTATATCACATTAAAAATTACCCACAAACATAGGGTAAATTATATATTCTGCAATGGGTAACAATATCTACTTTTTTGATAACTTCTATTTTCTGAGTTAAAATGGAACTCAAGGGAACAATGGTGTTTGAGCAGGATAAGAATATCCAGAATCAAGAAATATGGAAGCTGTACTGAAATGAATTTGCAGAGATGAATAAGTACATATTCAAAGTCTTTGGCTGCTGCAAGATGGCAGTTTCAGATATTTTAACAATTATAAATTACTTATAAATCAATGACTGAGTTTAAAAAATCTATCACCTCAATATGATACTCATTCATAAACTTCTGTTTAAAAGGTTACCAACAATGTGTAAGAAACAGCTTAGAGGGAGAGAAAGCATAGGGTGGCCTTGGTTTAATAGCAAATGTGTAAGTGTGGATAAGTTTGATTTTTAAGAACACAAACTTTGAAGCTGGATTGAATAAACAATAAAACGTGTAGTATCTGTAGTTAAGTCTATGGTACAATGGTTATAAATATGGCCTGTGATGCCAAACAGCTTCAAAATGCCAATTATGATTCTTCTTTGCCATGTGACACTAAGTACACTCTATGCCTCTGTCTTCCCATCTGTGAAGCAACTAATATTAATACCTACCTCATGTGATCATCAAATAAACACATAAAACTCTTAGAATAATAGATATAATAGTAGGTACTCAAAAATATTAACCACCACAGAAAATTTTTAGGGTTCTTTTTTTTACGGGAAATGCTTTACCTGCAAGTAAGCGAGAAACTGGGAGGTGAATGCTAACTTTTTCTTGGGAAACACAGTATCTGATAGTTTCCACTGAATGTCCACAAATGCTTAGTGTGATAGGCTGTTCACCATCAGTAAAACCACCATGACACTGCATCAATACAGCAAGGCATTTCTTGTAAGCTTCAATTAACACTTTTTCCTAAAAAAAGAGGGTTTTTCTGTAAGTTATTCAAAAGATTTGGTTTCTACAACATTGAATAAGCACCTCAAATTTGATGATGATTAAGTACCTCAAATAACAGTATGGACAAAACCAAACTCAATCCTCCTCTCAAACGTGGTCTCTTCCAGTGGGCCCTGTCCCAGTTAACGATATCTCCTATCAAGGAAGCTGCTTGCAACCTAGAAGCTGTTCTAATACTCCACTTTATCATATTCCACATTTGTCTGATATATTACCAAGCTGGCAATTTCATCTAAATATTCCTCAAAACTAGCCAAAAATCTTCTATCTTCAGTAACTCCAAGGCACAACCAACCATCTTTCTGGTCCATGCTTTAACTCTTGCCCCATCCACCCATTCTCTACAGAGTAATTTTGAAAAACATGTAAATTGGATCCTGTCACTTTTCTGCTTGAGGGTCTCCAATGGCTTCCCACTTCAATAAAAATGTAGTTCTGAACTTCCTTCCATGGCTTCCAAGTCCTGCAAAGTTAGATATTCCTGCCTGCCTCTCTGCCCTCAATCTCTCTGCTTCAATCACAGTGCTTTCTCAAAGCTCCAGGAACAACCACAGTTCTCCTCGCCACAGAATATTATAAAAAAGAACAAAGAATATTCCTAATTCGGAGGAATATTCCTAACATAGAGGAATATTCTTTATTCTTTTTAATATTTTTTTTTAGCTGTGGTTGGATACAATATCTTTATTTTATTTATTTATTTTTATGTGGTGCTAAGAATCGAACCTAGTGCCATGCACGTGCCAGGCGAGCACTCTACCGCTGAGCCACAATCCCAGCCCCTTTTTATTCTTTCTTCAGCAAAATTTACAAAGTTCAGATCTCCTTACATATATTCATATGCTCCTGATTCCCTAATTTACAAAAGTTCTTTTTTTTTTTTAATATTTATTTATTTTAGTTTTCGGCGGACACAACATCTTTGTTTGTATGTGGTGCTGAGGATTGAACCTGGGCTGCATGCATGCCAGGCGAGCGCGCTACCGCTTGAGCCACATCCCCAGCCCCTACAAAAGTTCTTATTTGTACTTTATTGCCAAAGAAGGCTAAAGAATTTTAAAACATAGGATGAATAAACCAACAGTAAAACTTTTATTTTTGGATAAATTTATAAATTACTATTTTATATGCTCAAAGTATAGAAAGGATTATGAAAAAAAGGAAGATACAGTTATATTAGGGAAGAGAGAGAGTAGATTATTTCCTTCTCTATTTACCAAGGTTTTTCTTAAGGCTTTAAAAGTTTAACATTCTTTATTGGATTTATAGGTAGAAAGGGAATGCATGCTGTTTTGAGCTAAGCTATAAAACTACTTTCTTCAAATCTTTTCAAATTTTACTTAGGATTCTGTCTATTTCCACTCTTTCATTTTGCTCTTATCTCTCACCCCTAGAAGAAACTCACATCTAAAGCACACCAGTCTTGCATCATTGAAATGACATGTGTTAGTTTCATTTGTAGTGTAAAGGCTGCTTCCCATTCTGGTTCCATTTCAATATGTTGTCCTACTTGACGGGTGATTGGATCCATTCCCTTAAAGAAAGTAAAAGAATTTTATATGAATAAAAAACTATACCTTTTCTCTTATAAGAAAACCTAAGGAATAATGCAGAAGAAACATATTGATTATAAAATCATACAAAGTCAAAGTCTTAACGGGAAGCTTCCAGTAATATGAGAAGTGATAGCTTTTTAAATTATAGATTTTATGTAACATTCTCTAAAATACAAGGAAAAATTCTAGTAAAATATAGAATGAACCATTTTAGGGGTAATCTCTAAATCTGCTTCAGATAACAAAATACTTCATTACTTCACTGTAATAATCTTTCAAATTCCTTTTTAACTCTATCATCTATGTTAAAAAAAAAAGCTTTTTTTCATTTTATATTTTTGGTGGTGCCAGTCATAGAATCCAGGGCCTCAAACATGCACATGTTCTACCACTGAGCTACATCTGTAGTTCCCTGACAGGTTTTTAAATGTTACTGAACTGATAAATATATACTAATGTTAATCAAAAGAATACCAAATACAAAAAAAGCACTAGATGCCAGAGCTTTTGCTGGACTCTTATTCACTCTACACCTCTAAGAGTCTCCAATTAGAGAGGACTTTCTTGATCCAAATTGTAGCCATTCAAATTGATCTTTTGGAAATATGCTCAAAATGAAAATAACATTAAAAAGCCACAAATAAAGGAACAAACAAAAACCACAGAGAGAAAGGTGTTCAGTTCAATGAACAATAACAAAAACAAAAAAATTAAGATTAAAAATAGAAAAAAGTGGCAATTTATACATACCTGCATGCATTTCAGTAATTCCAAAAAGGCATCAAACCCTTCTAGAAACTTCTGCCTCAGCTCATCTGACCATTCAGTTGGTTTGCTAATTAACACATACCTGAACAAGATAACAGTAGCATTGAACATATAAACATTAACATTTTACAAGTTGTTAACTGGTTTGACAATTAAAAAAAAAACTTACTTGAGATCTAAAATAAGGCTCTGAACTCTCCTAAATTTGAAGGCTTGTAAAGCAGTGTATCGTTCAAACTGAAATCTGCCCTGGGCATCTCGATGTCTCAAATGATCCATGAAAGTTTTAATAATAATGGTCATCAGATTTTCTTCTGTGATGAGCATTCGAGCCTAAAACAAAGTATATCAGAGTGCAGATAATCAAAAGCTATTTACTAGGAAGCTAAAAATGTCAGTGACATTGTGCAATTTAAACTTTTTTTCAACACAACTATAAAACATCATAAATGCATTACTGGATATTTCTAAATAACAATTACTTACTCCAATTGCCACGTGTATGGAGCAACAAATATATCAGATGCCAGAATGTTAGAAGACAGATCCAAGGCTCATTATTCAAAGATAATTCAGGGTGGGGGATCTGAACCAGGCTGCAAACTTTCCTTAACTGAGACATTTAGACACCTATAATGGTATGGTATAATTATTCTAGGATCCAGAGGTTTATGGCACAGATTTTTTAGAACTCAGTATGAAACTATATTGCCTCAATCTCCCTAGTTGAAATATATTTTTGTTTTCATTTATCTATAAAAATGTATATACAAATACATATATATATACACACACTCACACATAACATACTTTTGAATAAGGTATTATGTGTAAATGACATCAAATATAGCAGGTTAAAAAGTAATTTTCCTAGGTCCTGAGATCTCCCATCCAAATGCAGATACTGTTAGCAGTTTCTTGAATTCTTCTTGAGAAGGTATGTTTTCAAAAATATGTATATATATATATATATATATATATATATATATATATATATATATATATATATATATATATAATGTTACATATATAATTCATAACATAAAGTATACATTAGGTATATAAATATGGATGTCTAATTATCTCTCTCTCCCCGCCCAAGAATAGCATATCATAAATATTATTCTATTCTCTTCTATTCATCATATCTTAATGAATGAATGAATGAATTTTTATGGTGGTAGGGATTGAACCCAGGTCCTTGTACATGCTAAGCAAGTACTCTACCAACTGAGCTATATCCCCAGCCCTATATAATGTATTTTAGAGACTGTCCCATATCATTTCATATAAATTTCCCTCATTCTTATCTTTTTTTTTCCCTGGGGAACTATGGAATGAACCCAGGGATATTTTACTACTGAGAACATTTCTAGTCCTTTTTATTTTAAGGCAGGGTATCTTTAAGTTGCCCAGCCTGAACTTGAACTTGCAATCTTCCTGCTTCAGTTTCCCAAGTTGCTGGGATCATAGGCATGTACCATTGTGCCTGGCTCCCTCATTCTTTTTAATTATCATCAGGTATGTTTTATATCTTATTTTATTGAGCCAGGTTCTTACTGTTTCCAGATCTATGCTATTACAAAAGATGTTGCACTAAATATCCACTGTGTATAGTTAAAAGAATATGTATAGAATAATTTCCTAAAGTAGAATTACTAAATTAGTATACATTTTGACATTATCACCAAACTGTCTCCAGAAAGAGGCTTAATAATCTATATGCCCAACTTACAATATGGACCTTACCCTTACTATAACACAACGTAACTTAAACACTGATGTTTACCATTCTGATCATGATCTTTTTTATTACAGTAAAAATGGTGATATTCAAAGTAAAATTAGACAGACTTAACTAAGGAAAATTAAAATAATCAGAATAACAGAGTATTTTCCAGTGAAGAATAAAAGTCAAGTATGAAGGGCAAAGAGTGTTAATAGGTTAAGCAAAAGGATTTTCCTTTTTATTTGTTGTATTAATTGATTTTTGAGGAAGTTAAATAAGTGTGATTCAATTCCACTGAGTTATGGGAAAATTCTGTAGAACTATCTTAGAAGACTTAGAGCAGGTCATAAAACAAGTTTGGTGAAGGGGCAACTCAACATTGTTAGAATCTAAATCTCACAATCAGGGTCCTTACTAGCATTTTTTATTTCAAACAAATGTTAAAAGAGATGGTTCAACTACTACATAGTTTTAGATTAGATTCTAATTGTCTTTACCAGGTGACAAATAAAAACATTAACAGGGTGGCCCATTAGTAATGTCCCATTAAAATGGGAGTTATCCTGGCATTTCTACTCCTGAAAAGATAACTAATGAAATATATCTTCCAAAGTTAAAAACAGAAGTAAGGATTAAAAAAAAAAACCTTATGTGCATGGCTTCATCACTTTATGCCCAGATTGTTGCTAGTCTTTCAAGGTTTCAAGGTAATTTTTAGCACTAAATATCTAACATATCTAACATTACTATAGAGTCCTAGTACTTCTTATCACGTATCGTTAAAAAAAAAAAATCACTAGTTTTGTTTTTTATTTGGGTACCGAGGATCGAATTCAGGGGCACTCAACTACTGAGCCTCATCAGCAGCCCAATTTTGTATTTTATTTAGAGACAGAGTCTCATTGAGTTGTTTAGTGCCTCAACCTTTTGCTGGGGCTGGCTTGGAACTCCTGATCCTGCTGTCTCAGTCTCCGGAGCCACTGGGATTACAGGCATGTGCCTGGCAAAAATCACTAGTTTTTATGCACAGTCCACTTTGCTTTAAAAGGCATTAGCACTACATACTTTACAGTTTTTCTTCTTCTTCTTCTTCTTCTTTTTTTTTTTGTAATTCATATACAATTTTACATTATAAGGCACATCACACATTTAACAGCATATTCAAAATGGGCCAAATTCTCCCTTAAGACTGAAAAGCTTCACTGAACAATAACAATGGCCTATGCACACACTTTGGCAAATTAAATGCTATAGAATGTTACAGGGATAATGCTGACTAGGGGCACATTTAAGAAAATAAACTGGAACAACCATGATACTAATCACTTGAATTATAATTGGTCAGACTATTTAAAATTGAAGACTGGGTTAACTGTATGGTAATTCTGATTCAAAAGGTAACACTGCTATAAAATATTTCACTATTATCTAGGGCAAGTTATTTTTAACAAGGGTTATATATAAGAATTACTAATAGAGCTATTCCAGAAAAGCAATGCAAATACTTTCTGCTCCTAGTCAGGATGGAGTATCCTGAGGCTAACCAATAATTCTTCCAGGAATAGCGAAAGAAGGAAGGAAGGAAGGCAGGAAGGAAGGAGGGAGGGAGGGAGGGAGGGAGGGAGGGAGGGAGGGAGGGAAGGAAGGAAGGAAGGAAGGAAGGAAGGAAGGAAGGAAGGAAGGAAGGACCTAGAGGAAGAGAGAGGGAGGGAAAGGAAAAGAAATCCTTAGAGAGCTGCTGAAACAAGGACTCCAGGGAATAGAATCATGGAGAAAGGAAAGTCCATAGGGAAGTGAGCCAATATTTTGCTGCAGCTTCTCCCTTGGCATTGAACTATTTTGGGAGGGATATGAGGGAATTAAAGATCCCAGATTAAAAATTAGAAGATTAAAGATCCCAATGAAGAATGTACAGAGCTGCTATTATTACAGAGAACACCTGCTGAGATTTTAGCTATCTCAGAGGCCAGAGTTCTAGTAAGAACAGAAGTATGGAGAGCTGAGCCCAACATTTTTTCAGTTTCCCTCTCAAGATATCTGTAAAACTCTGAAACCCTGTGGGATAAAAGTCTGAGAAGAGCAGAAAGCCTCCAAGAATAAAGTAGTGATGTGGCAGACTTAGCAAGATAAGGAATAAAATTAGATCTCACAATCCCATAGAGGGCAGGAATTTCAGGCTCTCAACTGGGAACCCTTAGACAGTTATATCTAAGGGTAAGGATAAACCAGAAGGGAAGACTGAGTTCTGCCATAACAAACTAGAATCCTATCAATTGCTGATTGGTCTAAGGTGATCAGCCTAGTTCTATGTGCTGAAGGGGGCCACAATATGCCACCCCCAAATATGTCACTTTGACAAAAAGGATCATTTTGAGCTGAAGGCAATTAAGGAGACACTATAAAAGCACTAAAGACAGAGCACATATTTCTCTTTTGTAAATGCCTTTTCCTTTACCAGGAAGGAAAAGGCAACTCTTATCATCTAAGTTGACTCGAAAAAAAAAACTCACTAAACAACCCTTATTTACCACATATTTCTTAAGTTACCTTTTCATAACCTGTTTTCCCCAATTACCCCCAAACCCTTCTTCCCACACTTTATCCCCTTTATTTATTATTTGTTTGTTTTTGTGGTGCTGGGGACTGAACCCAGGGCCTTATGCATGCAAGGGAAGCACTCTACCAACTGATCTATATCCCCAGCCCCCTTTACCCCTTTATTAAGATGGTATGTAAAATGCAAATTCTAACCACCTCCTTGAGTCATATTTCTTTCAGAATTTCCATGTGTATGCATGAAATTAAATTTGCTTTTTCTTTGTTAATTTGTCTTCTGTCAGCAATCAGCAGCACCCTGAGTTGCTGAAACTGGGAGGGTAGAGGAAAAGTTTTCCCTCCCCCACACTGCCTAACAATGTTACATAGAATCCTCTTAGGAGAAAGATTTAATTAAATTTTAAAATATTGTCCTATCCGTAAGGCACAGACAGAGAGAAAGAATGGTGTAGAAACCATATTTGAAAAATTATGGCTCCAAAATTTCCCAAACTGACGAAATACACCTGTCTAGAGATTTAATAATACTACCAAATTCCCAGGATAATACAAGACAGCCATACCTAGTCAATTCATAGTAAAAGTGTTGAAACCTAAGATAAATATTAGTAAAAAGTTGGCAAGCATTCCAACTTGTTAAAAGTCATGGGGGTGCGTGTTGTGGCTCAGTGGTAGAGGTTCAATCCCTGGCCCCACATAAAAATAAAAACAAATAAAATAAAATAAAGGTATTGTATCTATCTACAACTAAAAATTTTTTTTTTTAAAAACTCATAAGATGTAAGAAAGACAAAACACAACAAAAATGAATAAATTGAAACAAAACTACATGCAATCCAGATAATGGCATTATTAGACAATGACTTTAAAACATTCAATTTACATGTTCAGAAAAATGATGAGATGACAAATTTCAGTAGAAAACTGGAATCTAGAGCCAGGTATGGTAGCACACACCTATAATCCCATGGCTTAGGAGGCTGAGGCGGGAGGATTGTGTATTTCAAATCCAGCCTCAGCAACTCAGTGAAGCCCTAAGCAACTCCGC